TCTCTTGGACAAACTGATCCAGATTCTCTTGGACAAACTGATCCAGATTCTCCTGGACAAACTGATCCAGATTCTCTTGGACAAACTGATCCAGATTCTCTTGGACAAACCGATCTAGATTCTCTTGGACAAACTGATCCAGATTCTCTTGGACAAACTGATCCAGATCCTCCAGAACAAACTGATCCAGATTCTCTTGGACANCACACACACACACACACACACACACACACACACACACACACACACACACACACACACACACACACACACATCTGAGATTTGTTTTATCGGCCTGCAGACGGTTTTATTTTCTCATTAATGCAGAAACTGAAGGCCTTCATTTGTCTTGAGGTCTCGTCTCCTCAGAGGGACACACCTGCAGCTAAGGACACCTGTCCCAGACCCCACAGGGTCCACCACGCTGGAATATTCAGAATCCTGTCACATGTGTGAGCCTGTTTCTTCTGCTTCTACATCTGTCCCCTCCAGAGGAGCGACGGAGGCGAGTGGAGGGAAACCAGAGGAGCAGGAGCAGACTGTCCTGTTGAATCATCGTCACAATGAGGCTGCAGACCCAGAGACACGCTGAGAGGCTCACTCAGGTCTGAACGGAACAAGTCACTCTGCGTTTCTTTAAAATGTGTGTCAGCGACTGGTTTTTAAGTTTGAAATTAAACTGGAAAGAGTTCTCATTTGAAGATAATCCAGCCTGTCACGTCAGCCCTGAAGGGTCGGGATGAGTTCATAGTGAGGGGAGAATGTGGCCTTAGATCCAGCAGTGTTGTGGAAGCTGCGCCGGTCTGTTGTAGTGAAGATCTCTGTTTAATCATCAGTCTACGTTCCTGCCCTCACCTGTGGTCGTGAACTCCAGGAACCAGATCTCAGGTCTAAAGCAGTTTTCACTGACAGGCTTTGAACAAAACTAGTTTTCCTGTTAATTTGGTTGCAAATATGAATCAATACTTCTAACACAAAGTGCTGCTAACTTCAATGATTCAACTTTCAAAACATGATTTTTTTCTCTCAAATCCATCAGTACTACCTTTAAAGACATTTAAGAGTAGATAATAAGAATAAGAAACTAAAATATGTCTGCATGGTTCAGTTGTAGCTTTTATTAGATTTTATATAAACTTTATACAGTGATTTTCTTATTTACATGAAAATGGTGTTTTCTTTTGTCCTGAAGTGTAAAAATACTGAAAAATGTTAAACATTGATATATATTTTTAGTTTTATAATATCACCCCTGTTGGCTGTGAAGCGCCCCATTCAACAAACTTAAAGTAGCCCACAGACCACCACTTGTAGCACATTTTGTAGTTCAGGACACATTTTATCAAAGCAGTAAAGAAATGACTTTTTGACTGAAGAGGTGGAAGAACCCTGACACTGTGGTTGGATGATGGATGGATGGATGATGGATGGATGGTTGATGGATGGATGGATGATGGATGGATGGATGATGGATGGATGGATGGATGGATGATGGATGATGGATGGATGATGGATGGATGGTTGTATGATGGTTGGATGATGGATGGATGTGGATGGATGGATGGATGGATGATGGATGTATGGATGGATGGATGACGGATGGATGGTTGGATGATGGATGGAT